AAAGGTCTTAAACAATGTGGAGTCTAAAACTTAGAAACATTCACTTGTACAAACTGGAGTTCCATTGACTTCTGGTACTTTGAACAGTTAAATGCATCAACTTAGGTTACTGGTTCTCAGATTCACTCTTGTCAAATTAAAGATGGCAGATCTACCACTGGATCTACCAGATAAACTGCCTCATGCAGACTTCTTATTTTCTTCCTGAGAACTGGTGCTGTATCAACAAATAAAAAAACCCTCTTTATCTTAAATCTCCACCCAGTATGAAATACTGGCTGTCATGAGCGTGTTCTTTGTTCTACTACTCTGTGGTCAAGGGACTCATCCATCACTGGAATAAGATCTTGCTTTTTTATGTGAGAAGGTGGCAAAAATCAGCTAAGAGCTAATATCCTTCTCTTCAGTCTCCTGGAGGATGAAAGTTCTGCTTCAGTTTTAATTCCTCCTGCTTCTAATCTGTAGGTTAAACAGAACTTGCAAGTGCGGTTACCTCTGAATTTCTGCTTCTAATAGTTAATTGAAACTAAAATGATAAATAGTTGCTAAGCAAAAGTAAATGAAGTCACCTAATTAAGCATTTTGTATGTTTGCTTATTAATATTTACAATGCATCTTGTGCATTATAGGCAGTAATTAGAGTTTGCCTCAAACCAGTGATGTGATGAATAAGCCTTTATTATCCTATCTTATGGCTTGATGGTGTAGGATGTCTGTCTTTTTTTCCCTCTGGGTACGATTAGCTACAAGCAGCAACGGGTGTTGCCACCCTGATAGTTCCTGACTGTGAAAAATCTCACTTTAAACTGACTTAGGCATCACTAATGTTGAGCATGGGGACTCCAGACCTTTTTTCCTCACCTTTTTGAATGAAATTCAGAATGACGCAAGACTGCTGTTTTCAAATGAATTATCTGAAGATAATTTTGGGTTTTTCTGTTATTAGCAAATTTTATGAAAGTTACTTGTACAGACCCGATGGGTTTTGAAAATGTGCTTCCATGGTTGCACAAAGGCCTGCACAAATGAATACCCACTGCCTTTTCAGTTACACTGAGGAGTGAGAGGAGGGATCGTGGAATTATGTCTGTTGTTCTTTGGCTGAAGTAAACATTGTTCTTTATAGTCACTTATTCCAGATTTGTCATCTGTCCCTCACAGCATAAACACTTCTGTATTTGCAAAACTGGGGTGAAATTATCTGGAGAGGCTTCCAAAAACTTAATAGTTGCAACTGTTCTATACTGGTTGTGACAAGGGCTGAACTTGCGAGAAACTGGCATTGTATTTCTAAAAGTTTTTGTTTGTAATTTGAGATTATTTTTTTTTAAAAGGCATCTTTTTAATTTATGTTCCTTTTTGATCCATAATTTTTGCCCCTCCCCCTTGCCTTTATTTCTCAGTGTCAGTGCCCATAGTGACCTCCCACTGGCAGCGACAGGATTCCGACACCACTCCAGGGTTTTACTACTACAGCAGAGCTCTGCCAAAAATCTATGGAATGAACTCCATCCAGAGGCTACACTGATCACCGCTAAGCCATTTGGTTGATATCTGTAATATAAACCCTTAATCATTTTGTTTTTGCAAAGCAATCTGAAGAGGATGTGAGCCAGTTTGATTCAAAGTTTACACGTCAGACACCTGTTGATAGCCCAGATGACTCTACTCTCAGTGAAAGTGCCAACCAGGTCTTTCTGGTAAGTGAGCCAGGGACGAGTGTGTAACGACTGTGCAGAGGTATGTGGTGTTACTTGGAAACACTAGGGCATTTCAGGTAAACGAATTCTACTGAACCTTAACACCTGATACTTGAAGCAAACTGTCATAATTTTAAACACACGTTCTGCGACAGATCTGAAATGTTTAAGGGCTTGGGAAATAGTTTGATTATTGCTGACGTTATCTTTATATAGATAAACCAGCCAACAAACACTGCTTACCTTCTGGAATGTCAGCATTCTAATTCATAGTGGCATTATGAACCCTGGGCATGTGATTGCTTTCATAGTCATGCAGAGAGAACAATGTCCATTCTATAGATCAAAATTAATTAAATTGAGCATGCCTGCGGGAATCTGTGATGTGCGTAGAAATATCTGGGGTGTGCAGGCACCCGGGTGAGGAACTCCCTAAACCTGTTTGCTTCAGGAAGTGAGTAGAAGAAACTCTCCTGTTTATAATTATTTCATGCCAGTCATAACTGTACAAGTGATCATAAATGTAAATCTTGCCTGTAAGTTACAGTGCGTTCATTCCTGTTTTGCAGGGTTTTACGTACGTGGCTCCATCTGTACTTGAAAGCGTAAAAGAGAAATTTTCTTTTGAACCAAAAATTCGATCACCTCGCAGATTCATAGGTAGCCCTAGGACACCAGTCAGGTATATATATATATATATATTTTTTTTTTTAATACACTTTTTGGCAAGTAGTTGAAATAGATCTGCACTAAAAATAAAAAATGCGGCCTTTCTTCTCAGTAAGCCCATCACTTCCATTAGAAGTGCAGCATTGATCCTGTTTTACAAACCGCATTATTAGAGACAAATCCATGGCGTTTGGCAGCACAAGAAGTACTAATTTGCGTGCTGTTCAGCGCTGATACGGCCTCAAAGTCTGGTGACCTTGGTACACCATTCCTCTAGAACTGTCTCAGAACAATCCTAAGTACTTATGTGCCGCTAAGAATCGTGTTAGTACAGAAAATTCCTTCTGCAGTCACCTAGAAATAAATCCTCACTACTCAGATGAGAGAATTTTACTTTGCAAGAGACTGTGGTAGAAGCTAGACATGGAAACTTTCTCAAACTTCTGGAATTGGAAGGAAGAATTATAGATGCTTCTCAATAGGCATTTGAGTTCAGCTCCCTGCAGAGTAAAGGACGTACCTTGGTGCTGTGTGTATCTTCATCTCTGATTTTTATATTTCTTGTTTTAAAGCCCTGTAAAGTTTTCCCCTGGGGAATTCTGGGGAAGAGGTGCTTCTGCCAGCGCATCAAATACTCAGACACCTGTGGAATATCCAATGGAGACAAGTGGAATAGAACAAATGGATGTGACAGTCTGTGGAGAGGCCTCAGCACCACTTCCAATCCGGCAACCAAACTCTGGGCCATATAAAAAACAAGCTTTTCCCATGATTTCCAAACGACCAGAGCACTTGCGCATGAATCTATGACGACACAATTTTTTTAAGCCTTTGAAGGTGGAAAACAAAGAACGGACATAAGCCCCCTTGAAGTTGAAATACGAGGGCTTGTATGGTTTACTTTTAAAAAGTGACAGTATCAAAGAGTCAGTCATTGCACAGAGCGACTTGGAAAGCAAAGAAAAACGGATTTTTTTTCTGTCAATCAATGGTGCATAAAAAAAAAAAACTTTAGAAAATGGTATTGCAGAACTCTAGGCACATCATCTAACTGATTCGCAGTGACATCTTCTCACCTTATCAAGGATTTTTCAGCTTGATAGCTTGAAACTGACAGTATTAAGGGTCAGGATGTTGCTTCAGAATCACTGGTCTAGTCGTGAATGTGTCAAGGAGGGTTAGCCCTTTCACTAGGCAGAGTATGAAATGCCTACATGCTTGCGTCTGAGGAATAATTAGCATGCAAGCTTGGTTAAGCTGTTTCCTACAATGGGGTGGAATCAAAGATGAAAGATAAAATTAATTGGTATTTCACATTCAAAACATAATGAGTTTTTTATATATATATAAAAAAAATATATATTTTTCAAATAGATTTTTTGATTCAGCTCATTATGGAAAGTATCCCAAAATTAAAAATGCAAAATAATTGGTTGCTGTGAAGAAAGTTAAAGGCTCTAGTTCTGATTCTTCTCCTCGTGAAACAACAAATCAATAAGTGAATCACTCAATTACCAGCTTGGCAATGTGGGGTGGGAGAGAACTGTTTCACTTGCTTACCCAGCTGAAATACCTGTTCCTGCAAAGACAAATGGATCTAATCAAATGGCAATGCTGCTATGTTCTAGGCTTAACTGGAAGCCATGGGCTCACATACATGTCCTGCTTATTTCATCCTTGTCCTCAGCAGACATTTCACTGGGAAACATCACTTTTGTATACACTAGTCCTTAGGTGGAGACAGCTGAATATGTTCAGATTCTTACCCATATAAAAGATCAGGAAAAAGTGCATTGGAAAACAAGGTCAGTAGAAACATATAGGAAGGATCACAGGAAACATATACAAATTCCACACGGTATAACGAAATAAACCTTTTTGTAATCAGTGGGTAAGAATTTGAAGATATTTTTTTTTTTTTTAAATAAAATTTTGCGTATGGGAGTTCCCTGCCATTATACATTTCTAAATTTATCAATTTTTTTTTTCTATGCTGGGGCAATAAATTTGCTGATTGTACAAGAAAAGTGTTAAATGGCCTTTCAGTGAATGTCTTCCACAGTGGGTCAGAACTTTAGCAACTTAATTTAGGAAACATGTTCTAAGGACACTATTTATGTTTTTGAAATTGTCACAATCTGTACAAATGACTTACAGGTACAAAGAATAAAATAAAGGTAACTTTACCTTACTTAAATACTTCCTGCCTTAAAGAAAGCATTTCCATGAACATAGCTGGTGAAAGGGTTAATATCTGCAGAGCTTTACACTAGTTAGAGTGTGTATGGTGTGTGCGTGTGTGTGTATATGATCATGCAACTGCATACAAGTCGTGTCACTTTTTGCCTGCCACACGTTGCATTATCTTTAGTCAAACTGTGCAAAGTCTACTTCTCGTGTTTCACAACAGTAGGGATTTTTTTATAGATTCTGCTTACTCTGTGTATACTGAATCTTTTTGAGCCATAGGATCCAAGCCATAAAACTCTCTAAGCATGTTGAATCCAATCAGAGTGCTGTTTTCTAAAATTTGCAAGTCAGAAGGATTCATCAGTATCTCGTTGATACTAATAAAGAACCAAGAAAAAAGATGGTTACGATCGGAGCAAAAATAATTTTTTTTTTTTTTCCTCCTGATAAGCCTTTTGTTGGAAAATTTTTTTAATTTAGTTTTATGAACAAAATCAAGTTACCTTACAGTGACCCTAACTGTACTGGCAGATTGCCTTTTTTCCTTTGGTAATATGGCCACTGGTGACATGTTGTGAAACTGAAATCAAAGTGCTCCTGCGTGTTTGTATTATGCATATTTGCAAATACTCAACACTTCAAGCAGTGCCTGTCCGTGCCACTTGTTAACATAGGTTTCCTAACATGTTTACTGAGGATAAAGGAACTTGGTTTAATTTTTTTTTTTTTTTTTTTTTTTTTTTTTTTTTTTTTTTTTTTTTTGAGGCAGATCTCTCTTGGTCCTAGTTACAGCTAACGGTTGCTTTTTGGTTGGCTGGATGTATTGTCCAGTAGAATTGGTTTAATATGGCTGGCAAGAATGGCAAGAGTTGTTTGTCTGAGTTCACTGATTAATTACAGATACAATTCATTGGGTTTAAAAGTAAATTTCATGTACTGTCAATGTTTCATCCCATAGATTTGAGTTTAATTCCCTACCATAACTGTGAAACTTTTGGAGTGTGACTCAGACAGCAAGCACACACTATGCAATATGGTTTATCCTGTATTTATTTGTAAAAATATCAGACATAGATCCTCTATATATATATAATAGTGTCAAAATTACTAGTCGTGAACTAAGGGGAGTGGAGTTCTAGCTCCTGTCTGGCTATTTCAGATAAGTGCAGAATGCATTGAATATTGGAGAGCTTAACAAGTGCTTTCTTTTGTTCATTTAAAAATGTCTTAAATTTTTCATTAGAGTATAGAATCTTATTTTTTTTATTTTGTACAAGCTGCGCTTTTTTAATTATAATCACTGAAAAATTCACTATAATTTGATTTTATAGGATTTTTGTAGCATTACAAAAATATAGTAAAACTGAGGTTAATACCTGTTGTGGCTAACCATATAAAAGTATTAAATCTTAAACTTGAACAAAAGTCATATTTTTTTTTACCAGATGTTAAATAGGGGAATATTTTGTTCCGCAGGTCATTATCACAAAAGGTTTATAGGTCAGCTGTGTTACCAGCAGATTTTCTTTTCCCATTTGATGCAGAAACTATTCTGGTATAAGATATTCAGAATTTCATCATTTTTCTCTGTGGGAGTGATGCATACATTTGATGCCATTCGTGTACTAAATTGTAATTTTGGGAATGCTGGAATAATTCCTACCAAGACTGTCTTAATTGTGCCATCTGACATTTGAATGTCATCCTGGTATTAGCTCATAATAAAAGATAAAAATAAATGAGTCAATTGTTCTTTTCAATATCCCTTTTTTTTTTGCCTTGCTATCTAAAAGCTGAACTGCTGGAGAACATTTAATATTTGAGTCCACTCTTAACTATACATTGGATGTTTACTTTGGGTCTATTCTCTTTTTAATATTAACTCCCAACCTGCTCTCGCTGTTAATCAGAAAGTGCATCAAACATTGAGGGAGACTGCTCTTGTTCTTAGGACAGATGCTTGGGTTTTGATGATTTTTTGTTTGTTTTGGGTTTGTTTTTTTTTAAATCTGTCTCTACAGCAGGGCAGTTGCTGTTTCATTTTCCCAGTTTAGAGGGAAATCCTTTACCCTCAGGGGTACAGAAGAAGTTATTAAGAAGGTGGCAAACTACTTAACGATTCTTCCTGCAGATCCTTGATGGTATACTGTATGCAGTTCCTGCGTATGAACTCCTACAGATTGTTCTCTTCTAGATTAACGGGGCTTTGTAGCCATCTTCAAGAAACAAACTTGAGCTGCCTTAGTAGAAATAAAGGTAATCCCTATTCTGTTTTCATCTTTCAGTTTCCTGGAACTAAATATACTCAACTGCTGAATAGGATGGATGTGAATAGCAATTAAATGCAAATTAAATATATGCTAATCCAAGCGATTTTTTTTTTTTTTTTTTAAATCAAAAGTAGGTAGGCCCCAAGTGTAACTGGATCTAAATCATTGTCTTTCATGACAGCTTGGAAGGGAGAGGGGGGCAGGAGGAATTCCACTTAGAATTTAAAGGACCTGACGTGTTAGTTCTGATCGGTCTGGCTTACCAAGGGGCTGGTAACCTTCCCCTAGGTTCTTGGGCTCTTAAAAAGTGGCTACTGATTGCCCTCTCATCCTCTTCTCTGTTCTGTCTCCTGCAGAGTCAGCCATGTGCTGGGTGCCTGGGTGTGTGGAGAGCAGGGCAGCTACCCTGGCCTCGGTGGGCTTGAGGAGGAAGAGCTGCACTGGAACAGCAGGGTGCCAGCAAGCGGATCAGAGAGGATCTCATTCACGGATGTAAGTTACTCACTTTCTTTCCTCTCTGTAGCTGAGAATGACTTGTTTCATTTATGAAGTGTAAATCTAAACTGGTTGAGCGAAATCTCTTTTTAGTTCTTCGGGGTTTTTTTAATAAAATGTGTTTGGATAAGATGACTGGGTTTGAATAATTTTCACCGGGTCTTAAAGGAAAAAAAATTCATCAACAGAGTATAAAAGTCAGATTGTTCCCTAGTCCTGTCTCTGACCAACAACCACCCTTATCCTAGTAAGATGTTGTTACTGCTGTGTAGTAGACAAAGATCAGCAACAATCCAGCGTTGACTTAAAGCACTGACACCATGTTTTGTTGTGCTCTGTAAAACAGTTGTGGTGAACTTTACAGGCCAGATGACACTGTGGAGTTCTTGTGTTGATTTTTTTTTTTTTTTTCTTAACCACAAGTGTAATACTTCTAAATCAGTTTCATATTTCTTAGTAATAACACTCGCCTTGCATATGGTCCTTGATGCCTTAATTCCTCAATTTACAGTATCTGTCTCAGATACTGAACTACCTCTTGAGGTAAGTAGTTTATAAATACTGATGTCCTATACCAAAAGAATATTTAGGTCAGGCTGATTTCTTTCAAATTTTCCTGCATATTTTGAATGTATATGTGTAAAGCAGCGTGTTCCTTGATCTGTAACTGCCTTCCTAGTTCATCTTAGGTCTGACAGTGCAAGGTGTTGGTCCTGACAGACCACTTCAGCTTTGCGCTGTCCTAGAATCATCAATTCTGTGATGAAACAGGAAGCTTACCTCTCACTGTTCCCTGCCACATAAGCAATGGGGCTATTTACTCATCTGGGGAATAAGGCAATAAGAAAGCATAGTTGTATCTCAGATCCTTTCCCTTAGTCAGCAAGGTAGTGGCTCTGCTTTCGACACAACTGTTTCTATCAAGCTGGTGCATCTCAGAATTCCCAGTTAGCATTCCAGGAATGGACTAGGTGATTTAGACCTATTGTTCTAAAAAGATATTTGAAAGTCCATCACAGAATACTGGAATTGTGATGAATGACCGCCCATTACTGGTAGGCAAAGGATTTAATCAGTATTCAAGTATTGGGAAGTGCATTTCCTTGCTCTAACATCATGTCCAAGTCTAATGAATTATAGTTTGTATTTTCTCAGAGAGGATTTGTGAATTAAAAAGTGATTAAGTGGTTGGTATTAGCATTTCAGGAAAAGCTAATCCAGGATAACTTACAATTTTTATTTTGCCCAGTGTTTTAGAAAGGGTTGGGTATTGCATCTGCACTTATAAAGTGTATTGGGCTTAGTCACACATTCTACTCTCAGAAGCAAAGCTTTTTTAAAGGTGCTATTTGTTGACTAAATGAAATACAGTGTTTACACAATACTTTATGAAGAAAAAACCCCTTAAAACACACTTTAGCTAAACTGTATGTTGATGATTAAATTTGGAAGTCTAAATATGATTGTGTAACCAAGTGAGCTGCCAAAGTCTCTGTGGGCCCATCAGAGATTCAGAATCCAGCCTTAAGTTCCCCCTACTCTTTTTTTGTCCCTTGACTGATTCAGTTCTTATCCATCTCTCAAGAGGAGTTCTGCTGCAGCAGCAGTCTGAATATCAGCATCGATGAAATTTAAATAACAGACAGTTCTGATCTTGTAGGAACTTCAGCTGCAAGCTAAGGCATAGCTAGATCTCCCTGAGGAAACAAAGAGCAGTTTGTTCTGACAGTACTGGAGGTACAGGCACAAGCCCGTTACGGCGCAGCTCTGGCTGTGGCCAAGTTCCAAGTCTTCCCTGCCACCCTCAGGACTGCTCTGACCCCTTTTAGCTGCACATTCTCCAAACTAAGTACCTCATCTGCTGGGAGAGGCTTCCACGAGAACCAGGCTCTTCTACTCCCCTAAGTTTCCACTTACAGATTTAGAAGCTTTTGCCTGTTTTCTTTAATCTGGAGTCTTTCCCCAGTCACTCAGATAGCATGGTGGAACAATCATCATAGGGCACATTTACTCTGAACTGCAGTCAACTTCAAACAAAAATACAGTTAGCAAATATGCAGCATGCTATAGCAAAAGCAAGCTTGAACATAAAATGATACCTCTTAGCTTGAATCTTCCATCGCGTTACATTTTTTTCAGAATACTAAATTCTACTAGTATTAGACTTCTAGCTGTACCTTTAAGGGCACTCTCCCATCATGCCCTGTCAGCCCTATAAATCTGGCTGTGTCAGCTGCAACTTCCCAGTACTCAGTCACTGCCTGGCCATTTGAGTTGCTACAGCATTCATCAAGTAAGTGTTTAACTTTAAAATTCTGCTTTTCTCCAAACTTAGAAGTTTCCTAAAGTTATTCAATTAAGACAAGCTCAAGTTAATGGCAACTCAATTTAACTTTGCTGTAACAGAATCATTTGAGTGGGTTTTTCTCAGTCTTATCTGAATAGCAAGGTGAAAAAAGACAAGCAGGGAAAAAAGTGAGATTATACATAAGTAAACGCGCTAATTAGCATGAAGACTAGTCATGAATAAATTGTATCATTTGGAAGGTTTTTGTTTTTCAGTGATGTCAACAGGTAAAGTATACCTAGCAGTGAGCTGTTATGTGCTTACATGTAAGTTAATACTGAAGCAGTAATGAATCTTGTTTCTTTATTCAACATGCACCAAACAAATAGATTTAAATGCATTTATTCTCTCTGATTTTTATGCATACTACAAATTGCAAATAGAGTATAAAATAGATTCTCCCCTGTAAGAAAAATCTGGTTCCTGTTATGACAAAAATATAGTATTAAAGATTTGTTTTAAAAATACCAACTTTAAAAAATGCTAAGTAAAAAACTAGTATCAGTGGTTGGTTTATATATTAAGCCAAAGATCCATTAGAAGTCTACAAGAACCTAAAGGGGAAACGTCTTATTCTTGGGGTTTATCTCCAGGTACAGTGAGAATAGTTGCTGTTACAGGTGTGTGAATAAAAGTTCATTTCTCTCATCTACTGGGCAGGCATTAAGGGATCCTTAATGCCAAGTGTGATAAGTAGCTCTAATTCTCACTGTAGTCCAGAGTGTAAAGTTTGCTCACAATATTAATAAAATTGGTAGGTTGACCTTTTGGGTTGAGTGATGTTAGGAGGATAAATACAATTTAGTACATTCTGGAACTCTACTTAAAACTTTTAAATAAAATCTTGAATTAAGAAGCTGCTGGAAGAAGTAATGCAGCATTTTTCAAGGACTTGATTGCTTCCTGCGTGAATCACAAGAGACACAATGCTGGCTTTCCTGCATTCTTTCTGAAAACTTACTTTTCTATACTTAAGAAGGTCAAGTTAACATTTTCTGCACTGTTTTAAATACTGGAACATTTCATAGAGGCATGATAATCGAGAATTTGGAAACTCGTTCCTTGTGCCACCTACAATTTAATCTGCAGTAAACTGAAAAACTTCAGCTTGAACAAACAAACTGTAAGACAAGTTGTTTGACACGCTTTAGAAAATCTGTAGATGCATAGATGTAGCTCCATCCTTCCACTTGTTAACATGGTCTGAAATAACAGTTCTGCAGAGTGGACACGTTTTTTCTCTATTAAACCATAAAGAGATGCATTCTTCACAAAATGTGTGCTGTAATGAAAAGAATGAGAACTTAGAGCTTCTAAGCTCTTCCATTTATAAGACGGTATATTATTTGCATAGCCTGATTTCTAAAAATAATCAGAAGACATACACTCACTAATCTATGTTGTTTTGTTTACCAGTTGTTTAAAATAGTCTTAAATTTGCAAAAAAATAATTATGTTTATGTGTATTACCTGACAGATAAGCAGAATAGGCTTCTGAAATTCAGCTTGGCAGATTGAACAAATATCATCTGATTCGGAACACTGTCTCTTGCTAGCTGTCACCCCGTAGTGCTGTAAAACAAGGTATTTTCAGCAAATATTAGTTTCTAGGGGAGAGGGAAAGCCAAAACAAAACACAGAAATACCAGGACAGAAAGGAATTGGGAATAAGGGCTGCCACGTCAGGAAAACTATCCAATCCCTAATGCAACAAAATGTTGTTTTTTATAGTTGTCTTGGGGCCTAAAGCTTACGTGCTCCTACTTGGCATGCTGTCTAGTTAGTATCTTCCCCTGATCACAGTTACTGGAAGAATCTGTGGCAATTTTTATTTTAACAGTAACCTCGGAGTAAAACACTGCGTTAAGTTCCAATTCGATCAAGACAGCACTTAGAAAATGTGAAGTGCTTTGTTATTCTTTTAGTTTAATAACACTGTGCTCCAAATGTTCTACGCATTTTAGTGCATGAATAGCACGCTCTAACCAACACCTCTTACTACAGAGGATGATTATCCAAAAACTTACAATCCTAACAGAAGTTACTTGCATGTCAGTTATTTTGGCAAGCTTCAGTTCTCACTGTATTTCATCATAAAGCTCTGCCTGCATCCAATCAATATTTATTCCAGTTAAAAAGTAGGAAGCAGGACAAAAAGGGAATGTTATTTCATGCAGAATAGATTCTCTGGGGTTTTTTGTTGTCTAGATGACAATGTAATCACATAGTCAAGGAATTCAGAGTGTAAAATGGGATAACAAGTATCCAGGGTTTACTTTAAAAATTCAGTTGTCTGTTGCTGGAATACAAAGTAATACAAGAATGAGGCATTTAAAAAATTAATGTAAACTGGGCTTATTGTTTTCTGTAAGAGAATTCAGTACTCACTGGTCGCGTGCAAAATATCCGTAAGACCTGCCTGAAGTTTCTCAACTGCCCAAAAAAGCTCAAAATCTGAAATGGGAAAAGAAAATCTGAGTTTTTTCTTAGTATTTTTCTCTGTGAACTAAAAAGCTTCCAAGATTTTGTGCAGATTCCAACACTAGAATTCGCACTGCTAGTTTCAGGAACATAAAGCAAAGCTATAGTTCAGACTGACCCTAGTTTAGCTGCTTAATATGTAACCAAAACAAGAATTTATCCTGAATTTTCCCCAGTTGGTGTCTGTTCTTTAAAAGAAATACTGTGTTGAGGTTCTGAAATTAAGCACCCCAGTGCGAATCTATCAGCATTATTATCATATATGCAGTAGTCTTTAGGCTTGTAATTAAGATACCATCATATTATAAAGTATTTTCTATATTCAGAACCAAACCTGTACTGAGTCTGGTTACATCTGGGGCAGATTTGGTGAAGTAGACAGCCACTGTGAACACTTATCTTTAATTGGTTTAGCATCACACACTCCAGCAGAGAGGAAATCTAGTTTCCTGGAAAATGCTGATTCTTTTAGCCATAAACCTTTCTTTTTGCAAGCTCTTTCCTGTTATCAGTATCTGATAACAGTCTGATCAGTGTCTGATGTGAGGGGAGCTATAGTAAGTATTCCTTGATATGCAACCCCAATCCATTCCCGGAACAGGTGCAGGAAAAAGCGGATTTAGTGTCTTGAGCCAGTTCTTCTATCAGTTTTGGAAGGCTGTATCAGTTAAACTGAATCACCAACTTGCAACTCAGTTCAAACCCAGGGGAACTTTCAGAAATGTGTCAGTTTGTGTGTCTCTAATCCTCCAGTGATAAGTTTGAGAAGAATATATGGCTTACATACTTTTAGGATGAAGTAGAGAAGGCCCAGCAATATCCCAAGGGTCCATCCCAGTACACTGTCCAGCTCCCCATTGCCAATAAGATAACGGAACCAAACTGGTATGGGGACAAACATACGGTAATACTGGCAGAGTTCTTCTAACAGCATGTACCAGTAGCCCTAAGCAAGACATGCAAAGGAATCGCTCAAGATTCAAAACACAAAGGATTTTTAAAATATAGAGAAAAGATGCAAAATAACAACAGTGTATAACTTCCTCTCATAATATCTTGAAACAACTAAATATGAAGCATGAAAAAGAATGAAGACCAGACGATGAGTCTCACCACAAGTAACAATAACACAAGTGATTGCTGTACTGCAGAAAATCAAATGAATAGGCTAAAATCAGATGGCTTTGTCAGATGCCTACCTGCTTAATAAATAATGCTATCAGACTTCATTTCATAAGCATTAAAAAAGAAAAGTTACATGAAAAGGAAAATAAGACAAATTTGGACACGTAGATCAGCTTGTCATTAACAGAGTTGTGTCCTGCATTCAGGATTAAATAACAAGAGCAAGGCCCATTCTTTTATTAACAGACATAAATTACAAACTGTTTTCCTGTGAACATTATTTCATGCCTTATCTTGTGACAATCAACTCCTTTATAGGATGGGGTGATAAGAAAATTGGGAGATCAGGAAAGAAGCACAGGGTAGCTGGACTGAAGAGGTAAACAGATTTCAGTTACACCCTAAAAAATGACTTAACAACTATAAAGCACACGTGTCCTGCACAGAGCACTCTGTGTGCGTGCCTGTAACAGATACTTAGCTAGCTTACTTTATTTCCTTAAGTTTGTCTTTATGTTTATAACAGGGAAGAAGTATTCTTTCTAAAATACACACTGGATAATGCCTCTATTAACCAAATTCCTTTTTTAATTTAGCCACAGTTTAGGTCATAGTTGGTGTAATGCAATTTTCAGTAACTGTTTTTTGGATGTTATGAAAACAGATATCTTGACTGTGAATTTGTTCTGGTACATTTTAAGAGATAAACCCTACCAAAACACCCTGTTCAAATGCTAACACATATGAATTGTACTTCTTTTGGTGTTGTTTTTTTTTGAACCAATACTAGTATTTGCTATTTTGACATAAAATTTAATTGGTTTTGCCTGTCTCACCTCAGGAAGCAGATAAAAATAAATACCCCACCAACCAGTGTAGGCTTCGGTGAAAATTACTAAACTTTAATGGTTTGGGGAATTAAGCTATGAATCGAATTCACCGATCTGACACAAACATTGCTTAAATTTATAAACTAAAATTCTGAATTATTTATTGGAGACAGACAAAACAGCTGTTTGCATCCACAGATCTTAAAATCTTCCCATGTCAGTTACTGTTGAGCATGTAAAAAATTGACTGTGCTTCAGCTGCTCCCCACTAACCGCCTCTATGCACATTGTTACACTGCAGCAAATAAAAGGTTTCTTCGTCTCCCCCCCACTTAGAGACAGAAATAAACCCATTTATCCGATGACATAATAGCAATTGTTTCAGATCAGACTGTAAACCTTCCTTAGAACCAAGCAGAGAAGAACATGAAATCCTGAGGGTTTTCTTGCCCACAGTGTAGTGCTGGATTATATACTGACTTTTAATTAAAAAGACTTATCTCTGGGTAGAATTTAACACTTAGCTAATTTTACTGTTAAAGAAACTTTGTAAGGAAGCAAAAATACAGTTTGTTTCCTTACCTTGGATTTAAAGGACATCATAAAAGAAGGCACCAAGAGAATAAAGCACTTGAAGCCCATGAAGAGGAATTTCAGAATAAAGTCTGTGACTCCCACAATCCACAGTACCTCCCAGAAGTTCATAAAATCCACAGTAGGGTTTAAGAAGATTAAGCTACAAAAAGAAGTATCAGAAGTTACTGGGGCGCCCTGTGTAGAGGAAAGCATAACCAGAGATTATCCCGACAGGCTTAATTTAAAAAGGAAACCTGGTTTTACATAGAGGAAAAATATTTGCTAAGAAAATGAACTCTTTATTGTAAATTGATAATTGATGATCTGACCACCTTTCCATTTTTGAATCTTCTTTCTTGTATCTTCATCACGACCCCTATTCTCTAGAGATGGGCTTGCCTTCTCATTTTGGCAATACAGCCTTTGACTGATTTACAGCCAAGACTGTAGCTACAGAATGGTAAGAGGGATAAAAAAATAACTTGGAGCCATAAACTCCACAGAGCTCCAGAATGCCATATTCAGTACTCCAAAGGCAAGGAGCCAGGGTCAAAGCTAGGAATCAAATCCAGGTACATGCCACCGAGTATGGGGTCTAATCTTGCAAATTCTAACATTCTGTTTTTAAGGACAGCACCTGTTCAGGTTGGCAGAAAAGGAGGAATGAAGATTAAACTGAAGGAGAAACCAATGCCACAATTAAAGAAAAACAGCAGCAGCCTAGATAAAATGTTCCCAGTTAATATTTGAGTAATTTATGATGTGAGTAGAGATGTTCCTCTACTTACCTGTAATACAGTGATTGAGAATGAAAGGTGTAATACAGGAGGAGAGATGATCCAGTTAGGTATACTAGTAACCAAGCACATTGCAACTTGGAGCACCGTTCCTGTAAGATAGTTGTAAAGATATATTACAGTCCTTATCTCAGTATCAGTGTCTTAAATATATCTCTAAAGCACCAAGTCTCTTATATCTGAACAGAGTTTTTACTAGAGGACTTTATCTTTGTGGTTTTAGGCCAAATAAAATAGAACAACTCAGTGGAAAGGTAAAGCGGTAATTTTTATGTTTCAACACAACTATTTCTATGTGCATCAAGGTTTTTTTCTAAAAAGATAACCAAAACCCACCCCACTCTGAAGAAACAACAGATTTTTCCTTTGGGAGTGAACAGAGACAGCTGAAAGTTTAAGCTGTCAACTGTTATTTGATTCCACAAATACAGTTAAGAAGTTCTTCCATAAATTCCAAAAAGCTTTTATCAGTTGAAGTGGTTTTAATATTCAAAGTCAGAGAGGGGAAAAAACCTCTTTTTGAATTTTGAAAACCTTATTTATCTGAGAAGCTCTACACTGTACAGAAGCATTAAGACTATTTCCATCTTGAAACCTTGACCCCTAGTATTATTAGGTAAATAAAACAGTATCTCCATTTGCATTTCTTTCAAAAATTGATGGATAAAGGTCTTGGTTAACTTACAGAATTTTGTTATGTATGGTGATACTTACTCTTAGAAAAACCTGATTTACTATGCTTTTGTTTGCATACATATAAGTTGTTAGCAGCCCAATTCCAAGAGAAATGCCTAGTAGGAAAAAAGGGTCAGTTATACACAAGAAAATAAAAAACTTTACTGAACTGGATTAAAAACCAGCCACTTCTAATATGTCTTTGTAATTACAATTAATAGCTCAGACTATCAAGCCAGAATAATTTAGCACATTGTACATATGCCAGCAAAGGAAACAGAAGCCACTGAAATGTAGTTTAGTGTATCTCTCTTTCTGATGAATAAAGCAAATAAAAATAAAGCTAAAAATAAATTGAATTATATTTCAGGCATGGTTATTAGTCTGTCTCTTTGGGGGAAGGGTCTGTTCCCTCAGACCTTATTTTGTTATACTCTACCAATTATATGCTGCATGATCAATTTGACACACAGAATCAAGATATACGGCAGACTTTTGTGCAGCCACTGGAGGAGGTATCTGAGCTCCGAGAGGGAGGTGCCGCTGTGTTCCTCCGAGTCTGGAGTGGAATCATTGAGCCCCACCGCTTCGCTGTGGGCTTGTCCGTGTGAGTGACTTTGGGAACCCGGCCTCGAGTGCCGGGAACTCGCGTTGTCTCTGGCTTCTCCCACAGCAGAGTTCAGCTGTATGCGAACATCCCCGCTGTGATGGCACGAGCTCTCCCCTGACAACCTCGCTGCGTGGGCGCTCGGAGAAGATGAGGAGTCATCACCACTCCCTTGGATGTTGTGGAGATGACTGCAGTTTGGTTGCATGGTGGGTTTTTTTTCTGGTCCAGATTCTTGCTATTTTGTCTCCTAGAGTGGGATATAAAAAGTCACAGTTGAAGGAAGAGCTAACTAGGGGAAAAAAAATAATCCCAAAACCCAACGCAAAAATACAGTATTGTTCTGAGTGGTTGCCTGCATGAAGTAAAGATTCTTTCGAGAGATACTGTGTCTCTGCTCTGAAAGCTGGCATGCTGGGTTTGCATCCCATCTCCAAGGAGCAGCTTTCCATGTGCCATATTAAATGACTTCCTTTCACGCACGTTCAGATTTTCTAGCCTGCGGAACCTGGCTGCCTCAGTAAAACCTAAAGTTGCTTCAGTGCAAATCAGAACAGCAAAAGCTGCTGAATAGGAGACCAGCAGTAGCTTGTACAGAAGAGATATGAGCAGTGCTGCATAATTTCACAAAAATAGTAACAGTAGTAGGCCAGAGGAGCAAACAATGATGGGAAGGAAGCAAAGGGTACATTTACATGCGTCCATGAAATGGTAAGCACTTGTTCAGAGACAAGTCTAGTCAAAAACCAGGGCATGCTCAAAATTGAGGGCCATTATGAGATTAATGAGATTATCCTGTCTGGGTAAGTAAGCAGAACCAGGTTAGTCCATTTTGTAAGAAGCGTTTAAAAAAGCCTGGACCATATGGTCTAGGTGAAAAAAGACGTGCAGCCAACAAGCAGTAATCTAACAGTGAGATCACCCAAAGGAGGTTTTATGTCTTTCTACTGTCTTCCAGGGCAGTTTTTAACTTTTGTGTGAGTCTTTACCTTACTCCAAGTGCATTAAATCTACTTCTCTGGATTGGTGTAATAGGAAAGTAGTGATTTTGGAGAATGGTTTGAAGCTGGATTCGACACACTCGTCACTATCAAGTTATATTACTGAAACATTGGAAATTTTATTATAATCCTTTTTCATTCATTCAAACTCTTCCAGATTCCTCTTTGAAATATTTTTCCAAAGCTTAGCGTATATACACAGCTAGTTTCATCGGGGATACAAAAAGGTTAGAGCAAAGTTGGTTTTGTACTGCAAGAAGTTAACATATTTGCACAAACCTAGAATTATTTAGCCTTTAAAATGGAGACTAGATTACATTAGAAGAGTTTAAACATTGCAAAGATCTCCAATTCTGTCCCTTAGAGTGGTGATTTTATGATTTATATAATTAGAGCTGTCTCTTATACACATCTGTGCTCCCCCTTGCTTTTTGTTTAACGCCTCAATTAAAATTAATCTGGGAAGGCAATAATAAGGAAAGAAATTAAGAAATCTGTATAAATATATATATATATATGGACCGCGATATCATCTCGGTGGTGATTAGTGCTCACCGCGGGGAAGTCCTGCTGCCTGGAAATTGGCTTTGCCTCCTAGGAAACCTGAGGAAAATGCTGCCCTGGTTAATGCTGCCGTAGCTCTTGGGAGAAGCTTGAAATGAAATAGATCCAGGGTTTTCTTTCAAAATATGCTCTTGAATAAATTAGTTTGCATCCAGAAATGGCATCTGTTTTCCTTGGCTCAGCTATTTTTCTGGAAGTGTTTAGGTATGCTGCTCACACTGGAACCGGTGCCTAATAGCTGAGCAGTTTTGAAAATCTGTCCTGTGTTGTTTAGAATTAAAGCAGAATTTAATTCAAAATTTTAAAGAGAAATGCTGTGGGGTCAGTAACCCTGGCAGAGGGAAAAGACGGGCACTTGGCAGGTCTCATGAGGTGAAAAATTAAGTATTTAGAAGAGCTAAGTGGCTTGGTGTTTAGTAACGCATACCATCTAACAATAAACCTTCTCTTTTATACTTGAGGAAGAAGTTGAAAACACTGGACACATCTCTGTTGAAGGTAGGTTTGAAGGAGGCATCTTCAGCAGTTTGATCTACTTTTATGATGGTTTTGGACCCTAGCTAGAATTTTCTTGAGTGGTAATTTCAGGCCTCATATGCTCTGTATTTCACTTGGGCTGTGGCTGGTGTGATGGAAGAAATTTGAGCTAGTTACTACAGATATGTTACTACAGTATGTTTAACAAACTCACAAGTCTCCTGTTCCTGTAGGCCCTCTAAATTCAGAAGACCTTCTAATTTATATGGTGCTGCCTAATTATCACCATACCGCTCAGTAACAGCACCAACGCAGATTTCAGATGCTCGGCTGGAAGCGCTCTAAGAATTATATGGCTATATCCCCATCCTTCCAAGGATAACACAAAACTGTTGTGTTTGACTTATGCTATGCCATATTGTTCATTCTCTTACTCCTTGCTCAGTTAGTCATTCACATAGTGTTTGGCTTATGAAGGACAATGTGAAAAGTCTTCATTTGATTCTCAAATCAGGAAAAGCAATTATAAATCTTTTATTTTTTAAATAGTATCTTATGGTTGGCAATTATGCATGCCTTCTGTACGTTGCTGGGAAGTGTATAAATATAAAAGCCTCATTCAGCTGTTTCTTTTTTGTAATTATAAAATGCATTAAATTACAAATGTAGTTTTAAATCAAAGTTGTTCTCAAACTGTTTCGCATTGTTACATGCGCTGGAAATATGAAATTAATTCACAGCAGCTTATTAATCGATAATGTTTGCTCATTGCAGGTCACTTGCTGGTTTGTCTCCAGTTCACAGCTCATTAGAAGGTATGTAACTCCTCAGTGGTGTTGTTAAATAACAGGTAATTTTCATGGTGCTATTAATGACCTCTGGATTTAGTAACTCTGGCACAAGAAAGATTTCAGAGATCATTAACATAAAATTGGAAGTCTTTTCCCATGGGTATTGCACTCGTTAGGTCACGTAATACCTAGTGATAAATTTACCAATCTGTATTTTGGATTCTTCCCCTAAGAGGCCCATAAATTTCCCACAGACAGCAGAATCAGTGTCCAGGCATGTTTTCAGGTGTATATATACACTCAGATATAAGTATTCCAGACTTTCTCATCCTCCTAGGTGTAGGTGGTACCTCCTTAGTTGATGCTATCAGCAGGTTTCATCACCGTAGACCTGCTTTTCCTGTGGTTGTTAAATGCACGAGACAATATTGGACCAAACACCGGTCCTCGTGGAACTCTGCCGGTGATGCCCTGGCAGTGCAATACTTACCTTTTTAAGAGTTGCTCTGTACTAAAAGTTGCTGAGAACTAGTTCTATGCACAGAAATATTAAAATATTTTGTATCCTAGTCCAATTCCTGAAGGAGCTCTGCAGAAGTCTTCCCGTGTGGTGCAGATTAGGGGTTTACAATCTTCAATTTTTGTTCCTCCTAATAAACTGTAATGTCACTATTTTTCATCAGAAGGTGTGGAAGAACTAGTCCTTTAAGATTATGTGTACAGCATACATCTTTACTGAAATTTAAAGGAACTGATCTCAGATACACGGAAAGGAATTGTAGTTAATGATATGATAAAAACTGTTTTCTTCCAAGAGTCTGTAAAATAGCAGAATGTCCTGAATATTCAAAGGCTTGATTGGTTGTCTTCGTTCTACACAGAATGTTACTTGAGTATGGAAGACTTTTGCAAAATTAAGAGGGTTTAGTTTAAACTGTTTGAAGGATTTGAAAGTCTTGCCAAGAGGCTCAAGTGACCTTTAAAATTTGAATGCTTCCTGAACTTTGAATGCTCAATCTTTTTAAATCTAGCTCCTGCAATTATACAACCTTAACTTCAGTTTGGTTTTCGAGCACAAGAAAACGGCTCCTGTGCTCCCATATTTAAGGCACTGAAGAATAGAGGCCAGTTTTGAAAACTCACCACTGCAGCGATGGCAGAGGAGCCTGAATTTCACTGTTGAAGTCTGATCATGTAAGCTTTGTCAAGCAGAACTCGCAAAGAAATTGAACCAGATATTTTTATAATGCGATGACATCATCTTGTTCCCTGAGGTTTCCAGAAATCTTACGAGCTCTCTGTGTACAGCAGCGTGCTCATTTCTGTTAAGTCATTCTAAACTGAGAGTAAATCCACTGAAATAGTGTCATATAATTGTTTTAAAACTGGTGAATTAGATCCCAGAGTCTCGGGTTTTGCATATAGATAGAGCCTTGAATTAAAATTAGCAGAGCCACAAAGGGCAGTTGTAATTTTTGCTCACTGCACAGGAGGGTGCTCAGCCTCTGTCTTTATCTGCAAGAAAGAGCGATTCCCATGGTCATTAGAATGAAGTGGGAAAGCTGTTTTCTGAACTGGTCTTGCAGTGACATTGAGGGATCTCTTAAGTGCAATCACTCAAAAAATATTCAGCTGTTAAAGAATTTTAGAAGGTGTGTGTTAATTGCTGTTGTAAGACCATTACAAAGGTATTTAGGTCAGAAGATGTACTGTAATGATCATCCACTGTGTGACACCTTGGTATTCTCTAATGGGTCTGCTTAAAGGTGCCAGAATTTTCAATACAATCTTTGAAGTTTTTCACAATTATTTTTTTTTTTTACCAATCTAATGTGTTAATGTGGAGGTGTGAATTGTTCTATTGAATAATGACTTCTCACGTAAGTAAAAACCTACCCTGAGTGGATCTATGAGGAAGGTTTGCTGATTTATATTCCATCTGCATTACCTGCTTATAGTTATATCCTTAATTATACTTTATTTTCCTTGGTAAATATTAGTATCTTCCAGGTTAAAAAAAAATCAAATGAACATTCTAACAACTCATAAAATGGAAATGTTTAAAAGTTATATTGGTTTATTAATTTAGGTTAGTTTGTGTTTTATAGTGGGAAGGGGTTTTACTGGGGGGGCTTCTGTGACACATTGTCGATAGGAGCGAACGCTGGTTTGCCGAGGCTGGTTCTGTTGGTACCTCAGGCTGAGGCATTGCTTCCTCCGAGTACTCATGTAACTGCTCTGTCCATGCTCTCATTGAGGGGCAGCTTTTAACTCACAGAAGAAGAAAACTCTACTTTCTTTGCAATTATTAAGGTTCTCTGCCATAAAAAGTTTTATTTGACCGACTATAACATGAACAAATGGTGAGATAAAGAATCTTCTGGCGTTAGTTACCACTGCATGTATAAAAAACATTTTTCTTTTATGAGTGGCTGAAAATTGACCCACTTTCTGTTTACCTTTTTAGAGATCAGTTAAACAGAGGTCTTAGATGTTGTTATCTAGTCAGATTTTAGTAAGTGTGTTAACACATTCTGACTCAGAACAATTTGTTAAACCTCTGTCTTGTACAAAGTCAAAAATATTCTGGCCCTCTGAGTGCATATCTATTGTAGCTGCAAAGGAAAACCAATTGTTTTTAAAAAAGCTTTACCACTGTAGACAGATTTCCAGATATTTCCTTTCAGAACTTTTAGAATAAATACAAACACATGAATGGAGTAGGCAAAATCTTGTTTGTCGTGTTGAACGGGATTTGTCCCATTAACGTCAGCACATAAATATTTGCTTCACTTCAGTCAATATTTACCTCGCTGGTCAATAAAACTTGTTTTGCACTTCACGAAGTTAATATTTACTTACTGTTTTTAGTTTGGTGACAATATATAAAATTCTCTATTTCTAACAATAATGGATGGCTTTTTTTGCTTCTTTTCTAACAAAAAAGATTCTGTATTAACAGATGTGTGTTAGTTTAAGAAGTCTTATCCACAAATAAGACCATGTTCATCACGTAATAAGATTATCCAGATTATGCCTATAACATTTTACAAGTACAGAAAGGATAACTTAAAAAAAAAGGGGGTGGTGGTGGTGTAAAATGACTAAATATATTACCAAATTTTAAAATAATTGCGTAAGACTGTAAAATAGGAATTCCATATCAGTTGGGTTTTGTGCTTGTTTTGTGCCCGTCAAGTTCTCCGATGAAGGAAAATGTGCCGTTATTCATTAAATGATGGTTTGGAATTTTGTTTTTCAACGTTCCTTGTGTAAGATAAAACAATTAGACTGAAGGATGACCTCAGAAACAACATGTAGATTTTTG